CCGCTGGGCGCACCCTTCGACTGAGCTGCTCTGACAGGCCCGCTCGGGCCCGGGTGCAGGAGACGGTGGCTGCCTTTCCCCATCGCCCCTCTCAGCCAGCCCTGCGGGGGCCAGGTCCCCTGCGCCCTGTTCCCCTTCGCTCCCTCGCAGGGCAGTAGCCCTCCCTGTCTCTTCCCCCAACAGGCCTCATTTGGGTTCATGGATTTCCAGGCTGACGCGTCTCTCGCGTGATCTGAGCCCAGCCCTGGGGGTCTCTCGGGAGGCCCTTGGGTTGGACTAAGTCAGCCCGTTTGCTTCTGTGGGTCACTGGCCACCCCTGAACTCGCTTCACAGCTCGGCTCCCGAGGAGGGTGACTCCACGGGCCCCGGCGCCCGCTGGCTCCCCCCTGCCCTCTCCTCGGGCCCCTAGGGGATCCTGCCAACTACGCCACTGTGACGGGCCGGGCCGCATCTGGGCACAGCTGAGGGCATCCGCTCAGGCCGAATTGCTCAAACTCAGGGCTCCTCACAGCCCCAGACTGGAGACCTTCCCAAATAGGCCACACACCAGCCACACCGAGCGCTTCAGCCTGGCCCACCAGAAACCTCACGAGCCAAACCCCTCCGACACCTCAGCAATATCCCAGCCCCAGATGGCCCCGGGCCTATACACAGGTGGGGGGTCCTAGCACCCAATCCCACCTACCCGAACAGGTTCTGTCCGGTCCCAAGAAACCAGCCACAGATCCCTGGTCAATTTACCGTGTGGACCTTACCCACAAATCACGCCGGGCCAGTCCTTTAGAATCTACCATCTAAAGGTTTATTGCCACAAGAACAAAAAGCCTGAGAGTGAGGCTGTTAAAGTATCGTACGTTACGTGCATCGAATCTCCAGTTCTCGGTGCAGGCTCTAGCAGAGATGTTACAGCTGCTGGCTTAACAGTCCTTGGTGCACATCCTGTGTCCGGATGGGGCCACAGTCCTTCCGGCTCGTTGATCCCTGCGAGGCTGCATCTGGGGTCAGGAGCCGATCTGAAGACCAAGATGGAGGCTGCCACGTGGCATCTAAATACCTTCTTCCCCGTCTCTTCTTGGCTGCAGCAGGTCATAGAATCATAGAACCATAGAGCTGGAAGAGACCTCAGCAGGTCATCAAGTGTCAGTCCCCATTCCCGAGGTGTGTCCTTGGCTGTTGTTCCATGGAGCCTTGCTCGTTAGCATGTCCATAGGCCCGGCTGCGCCCATCGCTCAGCCACACACCGAGACACATTCGGTATCACGCAGAGAACGTGCCTGTAATGTCACCCTAGACATCACAGTCACATGAAGAGCGCAGCCAGTCAGCCTCTCTTGGACACCTCGCACGGCCCCTTTGCACCACTACTGGGGCCAGCACCCCCCGTGGGCACAGCAGTGACCGGCTGGCTGAGGAAAGGATCCTCCCCGCCTGGGGAGCAAGCCCGCTCCAGGCCTCCTGGTGGAGCAGTATTGGGGGGGAGTTCCCCCGTCTGGCTGCGGTGGTGGGAGCCCCGCCCCCCCGCTTCATGCACAGGGCGTGCCAGTGGGGTGGGCACTAGCGGGGTGACGGGCTCTCCCCTCTCCCTTCACGCCAGGATGCTCAGGAGGACC